GGTCGTGGTTAGTTGGTTGGATACGCGTGCGAAATATGTTTGGTTGGATTGGCTGAATGCAAGTATGTATAGTGTTCAAGTGATTGTGATATGTTCTCGAGCTATTATTGCATTATCGTGATTTGACTATTGTGCAGAGTTGGCATATGATTTGATGGCGAGGTAAGTACATTTATGTGGATTTCTATATGTTGTTTGTTAGACTGCATGTTGAGACTTGTCTGGATATGCATTGGCTTATGTGGGGTTTAGGTTGTCTGCTTATTGAGATTTATTCTCATTGTATTATAACAAACCATTTTAGATCCCCAACCCCGACCTTGACCATGCCGCCTCGGCATTTTGGGGTCCCCGTGTATACTGCGCACGATGAGACCGAGTACCATGTATGTCCACAACAGACTTATATTAGGCACTTTACTATAGTATAGGCAAATGTGGGCTTAGAGGACTTGCAGCATCACACTTACTTGGTGTGGTTCTATCGTGACGGGTTGGAGACGATCGGCCCAATCCGTGATTTTAAGGGACAACAGCATGGAGGCGAGGATGCTGTGGATTGGGAGCCCGTAGACAAGTATGCTCCTGATGGCTAAGTCCTGGACCCCGAAGATCCTCTGGAGAACCCTAGTCCTGAGCCTGAACCTATAGTACCTGAGCCCGTGCCAGAACCTGTGGATCCCGAGCTAGAAGAGCAATTTGAGGAGTCCGAACCAGAAGAAGAACCTGAAGAGGAACCCATGGAGTTTGATCCTGAAGAGGAACCCATGGAGTTGGAGCCCGAGGAGGAGACGATGGTGTCGAAGCCCAAAGAGGAGTCAATAGAGATTAACTCAGATACGGATTCCGAGTCTGCAGGGTCTGATTCAGATTGGGCGTCGTAGGGGTGTTTGGTGCTAGGCTTAAAATCTTTTGTTGTAAAGCGCTTTTTGTGTAGTTAGTTTAACCTACCCGATCACTTGTTCCTTTTTTATGATGATGGTGGATTTTAACCCTAGGAGCTTAATGTCTGATTGTTTGGCCAAATGTTGTAAGTGACTGCTTTCTATTGTTATGCAATTATTGTTTCGTGTTATTACTATCCCTTTGTCATTGTTAATTGTCTAGGTGCTTAAATTTCGCTTCCGCTTATGTAAGTCTTTGGATGTTTCGTTTGGGTCGGCAACACGTCCTGGAACGTCGAAGGGGTGTCGCGAGCCCGTTGGGGTTCGGGGCGTGACAGATTTTATGTTTCTAAACCAAAAATCAGAACCATTTCTAAAAGAACCTATTTCTCACTTCAAAACACATCTCTTCCTAAATTTGGCCCCGGTTTGACCTGGTCAGACCGATCCAAACCGGTTTAGTCCGCTTCATTCTCGGCAGGAAAATAAATAAATTTAGAAAATTTAGAAAAATAAAAAATTTCGTAAAAAAAATTAGAAAATTCGGAAAAGTATTAAAAATCTCAATATTTTTTTTCATAAATTCCATAATAATTCCAGAAAAATTCATAAAAATTTCTAGAAAATAAAAAAAGTCAGATTTCGAGGAAATAGGAAATTTTTTTGAGGTTCACAAAATAGCTTAAAATACTTGTGGCCACCCACTTTGAGTGAAATTTAAACTGTTTGAGGTGCCCAAAAAAATCAAAAAATAAAAAACTTCAAAACTTCATAGAATGGCTTAAAATACCTGTAGCCACCAACTTTGAGTGAAATTTAAATTTTTTGAGATGCCCAAAAAAATCACAAAATAAAAATTTTCAAAACTTCACAGAATGGCTTAGAATACCTGTAGCCATCCACTTTGAGTGAAATTTAAATTTTTTGAGGTGTCAAAAAAATCAAAAATCAAAAATTTCAAAACTTCACAGAATGGCTTAAAATACCTGTGGCCACTCATTTTTAGTGAAATTTAAATTTTTGGGTAAATTTCATTCAAAGTGGGTGGCCACATGTATTCTAAACCATTCTGTGAAGTTTTGAAATTTTTTATTTCTTGATTTTTTTGGGCATCTCAAAAAATTTAAATTTCACTCAAAGTGGGTGGCCAAAGGTATTCTAAGCCATTCTTTGAAGTTTTAAAATTTTTTATTTTTTGATTTTTTTGGGCACATCAAAAAAATTTAATTTCACTCAAAGTGGGTGGCCAAAGGTATTCTAAATCATTCTGTGAAGTTTTGAAATTTTTTATTTTTTGATTTTTTTGGACACCTCAAAAAATTTAAATTTCACTCAAAATGAGTGGCCACATGTATTCTAAAGCCATTCTATGAAGTTTTGAAATTTTTTTATATTTTTATTTTTTCATTTTTTAAAAAAATTCAACATATTTCCTATTTTCGCTAAATCCGACTATTTTTTATTTTCTGGAAATTTTCAATTTTTATGGATTTTCTTTTTTTTTAGATTTTTAGGAATTTTCCTGATTTTCTTATTTTTTTATTCCATTTCTAAAAAAATGGATTTTTGTTCCGGGAAATAGAAATTTGTGTTGTTATCAAACGGGTTTTTGTTTCAAGAAATAGAAATTTTATGTTGTTATCAAATGGGTTTTTTTTTCCAGAAATAGAAAATTTTAGTCGTTATCAAACGGGTTTCTTTTCTTAGAAACTCGTCCTAGAAACAGAAATAGAAAAAAACTATTTCTGTTTCAGGAATTCCTTCTGAAACATAAATAGAATTTTTCTATTTATGTTTCAAGAATTCATTCTGAAACAGAATAGTTATCATTCGCACCCAAAATTTACCAAACGAATTTATGTTCTTTTTTGTTCCCAAGAACAAAAAAATAGAAACGGGTACTGTTTGGTCGGTTAGGGGCTGTTTGGTCGCTCAGTAGCATAAACAATTATACGATATCTGCTAAACTTTCGGTTATAGGCATACCTATTGCCTGATCAAAATCCCACCTTGATCCTCCATGGTTCCCCTCGTCGCCAGGAAGTCCATCTACAGAGTTCAAAATAGCTCTCAATTAGTTGGGTTCTCGGCTTACCAAAGTGACCTTTGATTCTCATTCAAGAACTAACTAAATTAAAATTGACTGGACCGTGACACTTGAGTGATTGACCAGCCATCGCAAAAGGCGTTTTCTACTAGAAACCTGACGAGTTCCAGTCAGGAGGGGGTGGGACCGATCCTCCGCATCAGAAATCATCTTAGACCGTTGCTTTCTATTTATTTAATGAATTTATTAAATACGAGGGGTCTACAAACTACACATCCATCATAAAGTTATAGAAGACTTTTCGATGGGAGTTATATAATTTTCAAGGAATTTATTAAATTCCTGCACTGAAATAATTTTACAGGCGTGGAAGCATTGGAGAGCCGGCATGCCACTTGAAGTGTTAGATTCGTTCATTGGCGACTCATTTTCAATAGATGAAGTGCTTAGATGCCTCCACATTGGTTTACTAGGTGTTCAGGAAAATCGAGCTGATAGACCCACCATGGCAAGCATAGTCCTTATGTTCAGCAGCCACTCTGTTAAGCTTCCACGGCCTCGACAACCGGCCTTCTTCCTCCAAAGAAGCATGGAAAGACAGTTGAAAAAACTCAAGTCAGATGAATCCACCGGTAGGTCTATGCCGTGGTCCATCAATGAAATGTCAGTTACTGAAGTGCACCCTCAGTGAATCGGTATGTGAGTGAAAGTCCTTCATGACAGTCTCACAGAGAGTTTGAGATCTTTGGCCTTCCACAGGGATCATTAATGAACAATCAACAAGCACCTAAAGGCTGCTAGTTGCCATGGGATCGTGCGCATGAAGTACATAGTGGCTTCTCCTATTAAGGAACAAACACGACTACACTGAATTATCAGGTTCATCGCTTGTATAAAGGATATTTGTACTCACCGCTAGATGATTAACACGATTACAAATGTTGGCTTTGAAACTGAATTCTGTTGCATGTCGCACTTATTGGCGAACAGTCTAGTAATGTGCTGCTATCTAGCCATAGTAACGTCAAGTGCATTCGTTATTTCCGTTTAGTCATAACAAGAAAATAAGACGGCGAGTACATGAGGACAGGATTATTCATATAAAAACATGATTATTCATAGACGCAGAGCCGTGATATCTACTTCGCACAAGCATAATTCCCTAGATCAACATGACTTTGGGATACACTAGCATTGATTTGGGTAAATTGTAATGTTGTGCAAAATCCAAAATCTATAATGATAGGATAACAGCTGAAAAAATATTCATGTCCTAGAATAATTTTAGCGGAGTAATGTATTATCTCTAAGCCTATTCTAACATTTGTTTCTGTCCTTGAGAGTGTGGAGCAATTAATATTATATTAGTTAGTTCACAGGCTTCACATCTCATTGGTTTAAACTTTGAGTGGAGGTGAATCCAAGTGGACGTGTCATTGATAGGCTTGGATGTCGCCTCTCTCTAGATGATTGCTCCGTATATTTAGAGAAAGAGCCTAGTGGGAACAAGGAAAAACTTATCAGCTTTCTCTCTCTCTCTCTCTTTTCTTGCTGGAAATTTTCCACAAATTCAAATTGATTGTTCTCTCAATAAAAGTTCACATCAAACTCCTCATTTTGTCAATATCATTTATCTTTTATCTTTCGCTTGTCTAACATTTTATAAACTCGAAAAGGAATTAAAACGCGTCAATTAGAAAAGAGCACCCAATATCTAGAATCACCAAAAGTTGTGTATTTACAAATTCGCCACCTTGATCCTCCATGGTTTGCTCATCGCCAGAGAGTCCATCTACAACTTCCAAAATCGCTCTCAATCAAGTTGGGTTCTCTGCGTACAAGTGGTCTTAGATTTTTTGCTTCTATTTATCTAATTAATTAATTAAAATACGTGGGGTCTAGAAACTACACACCCGTCATAAAGTTGTAGAAGACTTTTCGATGGAGTCATGGCGTGCAAGTTCATGGAACCTGTAGGATGGAGAAACTTTTGGGACGACAATTCGAACGTTGTTGTTCCTATAATTCTGTGCCGATCCTGCTAAGCCAATACAATCATCAATCCAACCATGAAATCTTGCTTCGCCGTCTCCCTCTCTCTTTCCTTCTTCGTCATCAGAATTTTCAGTACTGAACTTAAAGCTATTTACGTTGGTCATAATTGCTCAAACACCGCCCTCTTCACTCCCAACTCCACTTACGAGTCAAACCTCGAGACCCTCCTTTCTTCCCTCTCCACCGCCGCCATCAACAGCTCCAATGGCTTCGACAGCGCCGCCGCCGGCCGAAGCCCTCCGGACCGGGCCTACGGGCTGTTCCTCTGCCGCGGCGACCTTAGCCCCAGAATGTGCGGTGACTGCGTGGCCACTGGAAAAGTGGAGATCCTCCAAAAATGCCCCAACCAGCGAGTCTCCGTAATCTGGTACGCTGAGTGCATGTTGCGGTACTCGAACCAGCCCATCTTCTCGGTCATGGAGCGAGAGCCGTATGCGAATGCGTCTAACACCGAGAATGCCATCGACTCAACTCGGTTCGCGCAGCTCCTGGGAGAAAAGCTGAATGACGTCGCCACGAGGGCTTCGGCTGGCGGATCAGCGAAGACGGTTGCGGTGGCACAGGCGGACTTCACGAACTCGAAGAAGTTGTACACACTCGCGCAATGCACTCCGGACTTGACAGCTTCAGACTGTGACACGTGCCTCCAGTTCGGGATCAGCAATCTGGTTCAGGAGAAGCAAGGTGGGAAGGTGGTCACTCCGAGCTGCAACGTGAGGTACGAGTTATACGCCTTTTACTACGCCAGCCTCCTGCCGGAGCCAGTGCCTCCGCCTCCCGCTCCGATAACCGGACGTAAAGGTACATTTGTGTTTTTATTGCTTGTCTTCCTCCGTGCAACTCTCCTTTTTATTAGATCGAAGACTGTGGATTTAGTCCAGGGGGCCAAAATAATAACTCAAACTCTATATAAAAAATATTTTGCACAAGTGGCTATATACATCATTGATTTGAGAGAGCAAGTAGTTATAATCCGTAAATTAAGAGTGGATTAAACCACTTGTATAAATTTTCTTTTACACCTATGCTTTAGTTTTACTTAAATTTCTCCAACAATAATAACCTATGAACTTTTGTCGATCCATGGATAATGATGCTCCCACAAACGTCGCATAGTGACTTGAATAAGCGCGTTATAGCTCAAATTGTGATAAATTTGGTGAATTTTGATTGGATCATTTAGTTTGTAGTATTTATATTGTGAATTTAAATTCGAGGGCTTTCAATAGAGTCTAAACGAATTTTCCATGTTGCACCGAAGAATAGTCTTACTTCTGTTCGTGTTTGTCTTCTCTTCTCTTTATTTCTAGCATAATTACTTTTCAAGTTAACGTATGTTTTTTTGTCTCTAACTCTTTTCGACGTAACAATGTTACCTATCCACCAAGTTAGTGTTTAATGATATGGGAATATCTAAAAATACACTAAGAAAAGCAACCTAAAAAATGTTTGCACGTTGGCGCATGTTGCTATTTTTTTCGTAAACACTTAGAATGATATTAATTTTTATCAATCTAAAACAAACAAAATTTATCTGACATTTTAATTTTTTTACTTAGTTTAATCAACAGTTTGATTTAATTAAATTTCATCTTTTAAATTTTCGCAATGAGAAATGTAATTGTGATTTCATTTTGGCAAATCTTCGATGAGGGCTTTTTTTTATCGAGTAATCTCATTATTTATATGTAAAAGACAAATGATAAGAAATAGTTTAACGGTGATATGCACAACAAAAATAAAAATTTGTAAAATTTTGACTGTGTTAATGAAAGTTGGTCATGATCAAATTTTTCTGGATTCTATCATGGTAATATTCACTTATTAAAATCTATATGGTCACACATGGTAATACCACTTGTTTTTATCGATAAAGACATGTTCTATATTGTGGAATAATGCACTTTTTTTTCCTTAGTTATTTTGAACTTGTTTCTTGTTGGATTTAAGTTTATTTATATATTTATTTAGGGTAAGAGAAGGGGACAAAGCCGAGTTTTACACCATCACTTTTCTAATAAAATCTGATCCAGTCTGATAGCAACCTATCCATTCTTTGATACTCGAAGTGGACTGTGTAAAATCTCGGGTGTCCTTATAACTTGTTGATTTCTCTAATAATTCATGTTAGAGCTAACAATATAATCTAGAGGGGGTGAATAAATTGCTTGAAAACTCAAGAAACTTGTCCATGACTTAAAAGCTGTTGGGAGTTCATAGGAGCCGTTGCCAAGGTTCAAGCTGCCCGACAGTCTGTTTTCATTGGCAAAAGCATGGTTTCCCCAAAATAGAATCCGCTGGTATTTTTATGTCAGCTGTTCATTCTAACTTACGACCAAAACAATCAACTCTACTCTGACTAATCTGTAGTCCTCTTGCTACAGATTCCTAGCTTGTCAACGGCTATAATCGATCATCCTTAAGATGAATGGATTATTAGCACATTCTAGGAGTTGATATTTGCATGATATGTTGCCCCTCAGCACTTGACAATGGCACGTGCTCTCGTCATTAGTCCATTGGTGTTCAACATATTTCTTTCAAAATGACTTGCGATCTCTTATCCAATGGTCTTCCTAAGCATATCAGTATCCAGAGGCTTTACTTGGATGACCACCTAATCTTGATAGCTCCAAGTCGTTACGAAATACTTGCTATATCAGACTTATTTTGCTCTTGTTAAGGTTATCATCCTTGTAAATGTCCTTAATTGAACTAAACGGAGATCAACGATATTATCACAGCCTTCCTGAAATTATCACCACTTAATCAGAATAAACATCTGCATTTATCTAGTAAGTATTAAACTGCAAGATCCATTAAAATACCATATAGAGTTTTCCCGACAATATTGTTACCTTGTGTTTGATATTAAACTGCAAGATCCATTAACTACTGCACTATTTCACAATATTTGGTATCAAAGTTAAAGTTAGGATTTCTAAAATTGATTTAAGAGTTTTGTATGATCATTGTCTGGAATACTATATATATGATTATGTACGGAGCAAGAGGCGAGATTGAGGAGCTCATCAGAAGTTACAATTTTGGGTTGTGGAGCATTAAGATATGTGCCATGTTAACAATCCAAAGTTTGGTGAAGCCGTTGGACGGTAAGGATAAGTTACCAGAAACGATGAAAGGGATCGATAACATAGAGTTGATGGGGAAGTGGAAGAGCATAATCTTGTTTGATGTGTCAAATGAGGTGTTGATGAGGTGGTCAAAGAGAAGGATTGATGTTTCAATTCCAGGTGGCTGAAGGTACATCAATCAGAGCCCATTTGGATGAGTTTAACAAATTCATGATGGACTTGAAGAACAACAATAAAGCCTTTCTCGATGAGAAATAAGGCATGATGTTATTAGCATCTCCACCAAAACTTCACTAATACCCTTCTAAGGGGGCTCACTACGATTTACATGAAGATACAAAGTCCACCTTGTTTCTATGAAGTGGCAAAAGAAGTGGCGAAAAAGATGATTTCACGCAAGATACGATGTGACATCCTGAAATTTGTCAATTTGGGATTTATGAAATGAGTGGTTTTATGAACGTACTTGTAGATAGGTCTCGCTCGGAACTGATCATTCCTGGGATACTAACCGTTAGGGAAGGGCTAATTAGGGATTTACATTCGTGCGACTAAAGAAATTCGATCGTGAACTGACTTTCGACCATAGAATCGTCGAGGTGACATTTTGAGCCAATGTAGGCCGATCTTAGGATAGTTATGGGCCGGTTTGTCATTGTCATACGAGTGGATCACGGGTGATTCCGTTTGACCACGATGTGAGTTGACGAACGATCCAGAACCTATACCAAACGATCGCGCCCGTCGGAACTAGCGATCGATCCTCACGATTACATTGACAACCGAGGTCGTCACGATCCGAATGAACTTGCAGGTGACTTGATTTAGTATCAGTCATTGGTCGAATATGCGAATTTTCCCAAAAGCCGCCCGTTAGTATGAGACACGCTCAAGTTACGTTATATAAAATTCAGTTCTTAATTAGAGACCAAATTAGACATCAAAAATTTAGGAAGCCACTACAGGACATTTGGACGACGTTGTTATTGGAATGTTCAGTCTTGGAATTGTCCGAATCCTTCAGAAAAACTGAATTTCGGCGAAGGATGGAAAATAACCATTTTACTCCTGGAGCTTTGTTAAGGCCAAGTGTTATTGGGGAAGGGCATTTGGTCATTTCGCCCTAACTTTAGAAATGACAATTTTTGGACAATTTTGCCCTTCGAATTTTATGAAATTTCCAAATTACCCTTGGATATTTTTGGAAAAGATTTGATCTCGGCCGTCGATCTCAGGATAAGAACGAATCTCGGCCGTCGATTGAAAAGTAGAGAGAGGGGCAAGATGGTCATTTTGGCCATAAAGGGAATTCAATTATTGGGTGCATTATTTAAACCCATTTTCTCTCTCTCACCTCTCATTTGTCTCCCCTCTCTCACGGCAAACTCTCTCTCTCACCTCTCATTTGTCTCCCCTCTCTCACGGCAAACTCTCTCTCTCCCCTCTCCCCCTCACCGATCGCCCTCTCTACCTCTTGGCCACGCCGCCGCCGCGCCACCGTCCGCCCGATCGCCGTCTGCCGTCGCCGAAATGCTCGCCGTCACCGATTGCCGCCGGGAGGCCGCGGACCGCCACCCCATTTCACTCTAGCCAAGCTAGCCTAGAGTCCAAGTAAGTCGCAATCTAACCCTTGCCTAGGACATCGGGTATTATCGGATTCGTTTAGACGCGGTTTAGGATAGTTTAGTGGTTGATTAGGGTGTTGATCGTGGTTGTTGGTGGCTGATCATGGCTGTTAGTGGCTGTTGTGTGTTGGATTAGACATCTGGTAATGAGTTTTGTGGGTTGGAGATCCATGGGTGTGAGCTAGAACTTGAATATTGATTGTTTGGTTCAAAACTCGGATTCGTGACTACTGTACCCGTCCGGTTTACTATTTTTGTGGAGAATTTTTTGGGCCGAATTTGAGGAAGTTTTCTTCATGAAAATTTCTCCCAACATCTTGAAGTATAACATATTTTAAATTTGGAATATTTGGAGGTCATTTCGGTTGCACGAAAACCCATTTTCAGACCGTATTAAAACTGCCCGGAACACTGTTCATCCCGACCTTCTTGTCTTGCCGAATTTTTATAAAATTTTCCAGATCTATTTTCAATAAACTTCCTACACAAAATTTGTTGGTGACTTTCGTTTCTATGACATATAAAAATTTAAATGCTTTTCAAGGTGATTTGGGTGTTGAAAGAAAAGTATTTTGAGGACAAAATAGTCTGTTAGAGCGAACTGATTCTGGTATGATTTCGAGGGACAAAAAGGCATGGTTGCATATTGAACCGGATTTCGTGTTCTTCATAATAAATGATTATCAAGATGTTTTTTATGATATATCCAAAATTTAGAATTTTTGGAGTTCGTTTACTATTTATTTTGATGAGATTTCGGTCACTGTGTAAACTGCCCAGATTTACCCTAATTCTATGGATGTTTATTTTTTGTGAGCGGAATGGTGGGGGTGTCGAGGTTGAATAGTTGTTACCCTCGTGACTGGAATTATGCTTGAATGTGTGTTATATGAGTTGATTTGAGGATGAAATGAGAATATTTCGAGGCTAGAGTGAGACTGAATAGAGTGTCGGACGTTGTGGGATGGAATTGACGAGCTTAGGGCTCGATTTAAGGACAAATGGTGTCGGTTTGGTGTGTGGTAGTGTGGCTGGATTGTGGTGTTTAATATGCTTGGAAATGTCGAATTTATGCCTATGA